ATGAATCTATAAATAGAAATTTGCTTTTATTGATCTTTTGAAACTGTTTCTGAAAATTAGTCTGTGTATCTTTCTATATAATGTTTCATTTTCACACAGCATGTGTGTGACATGCTGTGTGGGCATCAGGCCCAGCCAACGTGGGTTCATGAAAGGCAAGTCACTTCAGTCACAATAACCTCATACAACACTACATGCTTGGGGCAGAGTGGCTGGACAGAAAAGGATCTGGGGGTATTGGTTGACAGCTGGCTCAACATGAGCCAGCAGTGTGCCCAGGTGGCCAAGAAGGTCAACAGCCTCCTGGCTTGTATCAGGAACAGTGTAGCCAGCAGGACCAGAGAAGTGATCATTTCCCTGTACTAGGTGGTGGTGAGGCCTTGCCTTGAATACTGTGTTCAGTTTTTGGTCCCTCACTACAAGAAAGACGTGGAGATGCTGGAGTGTGTCCAAAGAAGGGCGATGAAACTAGTGAAGGCACTATAGCACAGACTTTCTGAGGAGTGGCTGATGGAGCTTGGGATATTTAGTCTGGAGAGGAGAAGGCTTGGGGGAGACCTTATCACTCTCTACAGCTATCTGAAAGAAGGTTGTAGTGAGGTGGGTGTTGATCTCCAGAATAACTATGGGTAGGACCAGAGGAAATGCACCAAGGGAGGTTCAGGTTAGACATGAGGAAGAATTTCTACATGGAAAGAGTAGCCAAGGATTCAACCAGTCTGCCCAGGGAAGTGGTAGAGTCACCATCTCTGGCAGCACTCAAGAAATGTGCTTAGGAGATGAGGTGCTTAGGAACATGGTTTAGTAGGCATGGTGTTGAAGGGCTTACAGTTGGACTCAATGATCTTGAAGGTCTTTTCCAACCATAATGATTCTATGATTCTGTGTGTGAAACTAACTTGATTAAAATGATAATTTCTCTAGTAATAAGTCAACAAACCAAGAATTGTGAGATATTTTCTGACTAATACAACCTGTGAGAGATTCTTTCTTCATTAGACAAGTAACAAAATATTGATACATGCTTTATTACTTAAGGAGACTTCTTGAAGAGAACTATTTAATTAGAAATTATTAAAAATCTTGATTGTTCCTGCCGGCATTTAATTGGACAACAACAACAATGTTTAATAGCTAGAACTATTGTGATAGATATTGGTCGAAATTCATCAAATTATAATATTAGAATTACATTATTATGGCATATACTTTGTCTGTGTAAATGAACTTATCACGTCTGTTCATTTATACTTTTGTGCTGGTTGTCAAGGACTGCAGGTCTGCAGACTGTGGGGCTGAGATTGATAGCTATATTTGATATATTAGCCAAAAATATGTTTCTTTATTTGTACCAAAGGACTTCAACACACTCTGTGTGTCTCTGTGCACATGAATGAAAAACACAGGCTTCATGTGTGCTCCTGTCAAGGTTCAAGGAAAAATCAAATTAGTGGAGCTTCATAATATCATTCCCTAGATGAGAAATTAGATGGTGAATTTAATTCCAGGACAACAATGGACCTTAAATAATTTCAACTTTCCTGTCCTCCTTTCACTCCCTATTCAAAATAATCACATGCAACAAAAAATTTCATTCACAGGTACTCTGGAATTAGTACGGATTAACACTGTTTATTTAGTCACATTTTCCACAACTGTATGTTATCTTTAGTATGTGTATTAACTGAGGACTTCCACTTTCATTCATGTTGTCATTTTTGCTTCTTTCTCTGCTGATAATGTTTCATTCTTGTTTGTCATTCTCTTTTTTGCTGTTTTCCTTTTTTTTT